TAAAGCTTTATTTGATGAATCATGAGTTTTAATCTTGAGGGTTGACTATTGGCAAGATAGCGTCATCCATCTTTTGTTTGTAAGTTACAGTTATATTTCATAATGCAGGCCAACTATTCGATGAAGAAAAAGAATGCCTAAGTACTCTTTGATCTTCGGTAATAAACAATCATTCTCACTTTTTTCATCAATGACCCACTATCTTCTTACCGGGTTGTCATCACCATCCTGTTATCACTGATAACGAACAAATAGCCATACTACTTGATGTTTTTATCTATATGTGGGTCTCCAACTATGAGGACCCATAATTTATCTAAAATCTTATATTGCCATTAGGGTTGTGTATTCTGATTTTGAAAGACATGGGATCAGAGGAATCTAATGTTGTTTGAGTAAAATAGTGTATTTTTCTATCCGATTTCTCCAAGCACTGATGAAAGCTTCACAACCTTGGCTTCTTTTGCATCTGTTTGTTAGTCAGGTTTTGGTAATACTTTTTAGAAAATCCATTTATTTATTTATTAATTATTGTTTCTTCCATGGTTTTTGATTCTTTGTTAGGAAATTAAATCAAGATTGATAAGCGATCAGAGGCATTGTTATGTCAACAATTGTGAGCTTCTTGATATTGATCTCAAATGTAAGATGTACTTATTTCAATTGTTATTTTCATACAGAATGTGGATTTCACTTTCATTCGACTGATGTGGCTCATGTTAGATTACCAAAAACTTTGTTTCATAGATGGTGGTAGTTAGTTACATTGCACCTTTTTATTTTAATATGTTGGTTTTTATAGTTCCTTTAACTTGATAGTTTTAGAAAATGATGTCAGGACTGATGCTACTGTTATTGGAGTAGATAGAACTAGCTTGATGAGGGCTCTCCTAATATTTGTGAGTACATTACCTAAGATGAAGATGCATTCCTAATTTTCTTTAACTAAACGATTGTCACTATTACAAAATTGAGTTCCTGTTATGAAAAAAAAATGTCACTAAACCAAGAGACTACACTGGTGGTTTTGAAAGAAACCAAAAGTGTTGCTGTTACTTTTCTTCCTCTGTCATTATTTGTTGCTTTTCTTCTAATGACTTTTTCTTCCTTTTATTTCATAATAAGGTAGAAAAAGTTGGTAGTATAAAGTTGGAAGGATTTTTAGTTGAATAAATACGAAATGCTTAGCATTTGGATAATCTATATTTGGCCAACTAATTTCAAGAACCTTTTATTCTAAAAAACAAATTTACTTTCACCAATTAATATTACATATATTTTAAAAAAGAAGTGGATAAAAGAGGCCAGTGTGGGAAATAGTTGCCAAAGGAAAAAAATTGATTTTTGTTATCATTAAAGTTGTTTTGTCGTTTGTAGCTATATGTTTTAGTTTGATTTCATAAAAAAACAATAAAATGACCATATGTGGATTTTTCTTCAATTTATTACAACGTATTTTCATTTATTTGAACAAAAAATAAAAATGACCATATAGCGGCTGTTTGTCATTTACAATAATAAACGTTCATTTGATTTGATAAAAAGCAGTAGCATGCCTAAACAGGAGCAATTTTTTCATTTATAGCAATATAGTTCTATTTAATTTCCAGAATTTTATTAAAATGACTGTCATTCCACATGGGGGCTGTTTTTTCCATTTACAACAATGTAGTTCTATGTTTTTTTAATGTTTTTTGCATTGTCGGATAGCAGATTCCTAATTATAGCATTGTACTTTTAAAGTGCGTTGGTATTTAGGTGTGTGCAATGATGTTATTTCCTTATTTAACTAAGTTCTTCTAAATTATATTAATTTGTCAACCGTGTAACATGAAATGGTAGTTTTAATAGCAATGTGCTTTAAAGAAATGGTTTTGTAAATTTTTTATGTCTATATTATGACCAAGTTAAGTACAAGTCTGATGCAAGTTTTATCTAAAAAAAAAACTGACACGGCAGGTTTAAAGTGGTGTGCTTTTAAGAAAATATTTTTTGGTCTTTTGATGTCTATTGTTAGCAGGTCACGTGTGATGCCAGCATTTTTCAGTTTTTTTTTTTTTTTTTTTTTTGAAATGCCAATTTAATTGCATTGTACTTTAAAGAAAAATGTTTTTACTAAATATTTTTCATGAATTGTTGCCCATTTTCCTCCAAATTTGATGTGAATGTTATGTTAATTCCTCTCTTGGAAGGTTTGTGTGTGCTATAACAATATACTTTCTATGTATAATGCTATAATTGGCATCATTTAGTTTTTAATCTTTCTTTTATTCCTCTCAAAATCTTATTTTTTATAATTATTTTGTTTGTGATGAAATATTGCGGTCTCATCTTATTTTTTCGACATTAAAATACATCAGGTTCCTTGATTACTCCCCAATTATAACAATGTACTTTCTAAGTACAATGCTATAAATGGCATCACTTGGTTGTTAATATTTTTTATTTTTGTACAAAAATTTATTTTTTAAAATTCTTTTGTTTGTGACGAAAATGTTTCAAATGGACCATTTCTTAAAAATTTCTCTTACATTGTACCAATGAATTTTTATTTTTATTTTTTTTATTTTTTTTTGTGTGTGATGAAAATGTTTTACGGTGATTAAATTATTTTTACAAAATGAAGCTACATAGCTTGGGCCTTGAGTTTTTCTTTGTTGCTGCTGAGTTTCATTATTTGTGCTTATTCACTATTATCAAAATTGTCTTATAAACCTTCCATGTTTAAAAATGGACAAAAATGACATTATTTATGCTTAGCTAATACTATCAAAATTGTCTTTTGATATGTGTGTAAGCACAAATAAGCCTTTTGAAACAAACCAGTTTCATTTTTTTTAAACAGGGACAGCTTTTTAAAAGGGACTGCTGAGTTTCATTCTTAAATACTCATGATTTTCAAGTTCTCACTGAAGCTTACAACTACCATCTGCAAGAATAATAGTGTGTATGTATGTGACTGTGTTCATGTCTCCTTAGTATTTAGTATGTATTTTAATCAACCTGATACGGTCGCATCATATGTTGTTTTTTTTTTTTTGCTAATTTTAATTAATTATACCGAGGTGAGTTTATGTTAATAGATTCCTGATTCTCTTTTTCTCCACATTCAAGACCTAGCATAAAGTTTTTTATATAGTCAGAAATAACAATGCTACATTTCTATTTGATTTTTTAGTTTTCATAAAATCATGCATTCAACATTAGCAAATGAAATTATGTTGCTATTTCTTTAATTTTTATTTCTAAAATCTAAGTTATGTTAATTTATCACCCGTGTAGCACACGGGTTTTAACCTAGTGTATATATATATATATATATATATATATATATATATATATATATATATATATTAAGTACAAATAAGTTAACATGTCTAGATGTTTTAAAAGTATATATAAGTTATACAAACTTGCATCTAACACATGTATAAGAGCTTTTAGCATGATAAAAATAATTTCTTGTTTTTGACATTTCTGTCCCTGTTTTTAGAAAAATTATAGAAAAAATTATAGTAAGTCGAAATTCGGATCCGTAAACTCCGAGGGTTTTGAAAATGAGTCTACTTTACTCATAATTTTTATTAAGATTTTTAATGACCTCAAACTAGTGTGAAAATGTTCATCTTCACAGACTGGTCCGAAATCATTCCTGAAATGATAGACAGTTTTGTAAAAATTGCCAAAAATTGTTGAAAAATCGTATGAATGCGTGAGAGTAGTCATTTTAAAGGTATAAACCTGAACTTTTTGCATACAAAACAGTTTTGAAAAATATTACCATCAAGTTGGTCAAAACAGTCCGTAATTAGACCAAAACATTCCTGTTAAAAGCTGATTTTTGAGTTTAGGTTATAGATGTTTGAACACAACACTTGTTTTTGCTATTTAGAGTGTATAATATCAGATCTACAAGTTTTCATATAATATATAAGACAAATCATACTTTTTCCATGGTTTTTATGAAGATCTAAGTGATAAACTTCATGTTCAAGTAAAGATCCAAAAGTTAAACACTTATCACAATGGTACATGCAAATATCCAATGGTTAAACGAGAGTTGACTTGTATTCTCCCCCGAAAACTTGAAAAATACGAAATATATGGGGGTATGAAGCTCACCTTGGGGTTTTCAAGATGTAGATGAAGAAGATGATGAAACTTTGAACCTAGCTTGAGTTCTTGGAAGGAATCTTGAAATTGTGGTTGATCTAAGCTCCATATTCACGAATATGGAGTGGTATGAGGAAGGATTTTTAGTGAAATATTGGAACAAAGTAATATATTTTACCAAAAACTTACCTAGTTTGTGTAGCTTGAAGAAAACTTTCTTGAATAACTCATACAAAGTCACGATTTTTAGAGGAAGAGATGAGAGGAAATTTAAAGTTTTGAGAGGAAAGAAGAAGTGTTTGAAGTTTTGGAAATGTGAAATGTTTTGTGTGTATGTGTATGGCCGAGAGGTAGAGAAGAGAGGATAGGGTAGGGTTTGACTTTAGCTATGGATGATGTGAAGTTGCTTGGTTACATGAAAGGTAAACACTTTGTTACATGTTGGTTTTTCATGAGGTGGCACATGTATTGTCCCTTATTCCTTTTTTTTGTTTTATATGGGCCAACCGAACCAAGGAGGTTCTTGGCCCACAAGATTTTTCGGCTCAAAAAAATATTTGATAAAAGTTTTCGATCCATTAGGGCCTAATGAGAGGTTATCGGCCCAATAGGGCCCAATAAGGAAATATTGGTCCAATAAGGTTTTGGGTAGAGAATTCTTAGGCTCAAGCCCGAAATGATTGAATTTGACTTAGTGGATCGAGATTTGGGCTTATACAAGGAGATTATATTGTTCAGGAATTCAATTCTTAATCTAATTTTTGCCTGTTGTGACATCATTCTTCAAATACCAACCGTTGTATGTTAAACCGCATCGACACAAAGACAAAGGTAAAAAAAGTGATAACTATAAGGAATACTACATTCACCAAAAAAAATACCAAACTAAAAAAAGGATAAGATAAATCTTCTTTTAACATAAGGTTTATAGGGAATTTTTATAATTTTTTAATGCATATACAAGCTACATATAAAAACTTAGAGTTTGTATGGAAAGTATGACTCATGCAAACAAAGATACGCAAACTTACCCTAATCCACAAGAAAGTGTGGTCAGTGAAACTGTATACCACTCCCATGGTGCATCCCATCATTGCAGGATTGGCCACTCCAATCTACTTCCCTCAATTCCACCATTGATTAGAAATCAGAACTTGCAAATTTACAAACTTGAACCAGAATAACACAAAACAATTAGAAAAGGTAAATCTGTAAAATTCCAATTACAGCTATAGGGGTAAATCTGTAAAATTCCCTCAATTCTCCTACATTAAAGAAAACATTTTAATTCTATGAGAATTCAACTGAAATACCAAAATCACACTTATTTATTTTAAAAAGAAAAAAAAAACCTAATGTGTCCACCACGTATACACTTGTTTCAGATGTAAGTGAATCACCACGTGACCTCAGCGCCACATGGAGCCCGTATAGATAATATTTAAAAAAAACATCAAAATTTTAGTAAGTTATAACTTATAATAATAAATAAAAAGAAAGTTGAGATGGAATCATGGAATCATACAAGATTGAAGAAAAAAAATTACTTACTCATGATCTACGTGGCATGGGGAGTTTCTGTGTGGGTAAAAATCCAATAGGTGAAGCCCATCACTTGAAGATGACCCAACTGCATACATCTGTAAATAAAAATTAAATAATAATAATAATAATAATAAAATTAACAAAAATTTATTAAATTTATTATGAGGAAAAGTAGTAATATCAACTTAACAAAAAGAAAGAATGCCTTACCGAATTTACAGGTAACCATGATGGTTTTCTCGAGAATAAAATAGGGATATTATCTGTTTCATCCCTAATTTCATAAACAAACATGGTGATAATATATGGTTCTTAATATACCATGGGAACAAAAAATGTAATTTAGAATATAGACCAAAAAAAGAAAGATGTTTTAAAAGGAACAAATCCTAGAAAAAATAAATATAAAAATAATAAAGTGAGAGTCAGTGAAGAGTAAGACTTACAGCCAATGAGGTGGAGGGCAATGGATATGTATGTGTCACTTGGAAATTATGAAAATCCAAAACACCATACCTGAATTTACAAAAAAACAAGAAAACTAAATGACAATATGTAAAGTGGAATCATATCATCAATATTATAAAAAATTTTAAATAACAAATTTATTATTATATTCTGACTTACCAACCATCATCAAGATGGAAGTCGAGTTGATTTGGACAAGATGGATTAATGTCAATTGACTGTATTTCCTTTGCTACAATATCTGATTGTGCTTGCATCACATATCAGTTTTTCAACATTAAACTCATTAATATTATATATTAAGCGAAAAACCACAATGACATAGTAATTTTTCATACCTTTAGAAGCTCAATTTTATTCAACATGGATGCTAACTTTAATGATGTCATAGGAGATGAATGTACCTGCCATTGGAGATAGTTTATTAATTTATTATTATAGTAGGTTTCATTAAAGTTGAGGTTCTTGGAAAACTTGGTTTCAAACTTGATTTTGTCTTAGATTTATAATTATCATTTCTTCTAGGATGTTGCTTCTGAAAGGTTTGTAGACAGTAACTCTTCAAGTCCAAAGAAACTCCCATATTCGCTACATCACCATCTATAAAATAGTTATCAGTTGACAATATAAGTTAATTGTATTATCTTATATCTTAATAGTCCTTTTTACAATAAGGGTATAATAGTCAATACCTGTGTTGGTCAAAGCCATTGAAGAACCCTCTTGTGCTCTTACAACATTAGAGACATCATCCAACTGATTTGTGTTAAAACCTTTTGATTCTTTATGAATGTTGGCATTTTCATTTTGCTCTCTTGAAATTAATCTAACTGCAAATGCTGAAATAAAAAAAAAATATGGTAAAGAAGTCAAAAACTGTGTACTATTGAGCCTATGACAGTGAAAGCAATATTCATGTTTTTATTAAACTTATAAGAACAAGAATCTAAAACAGATATGATGCAGATAGAGACAAGAGATGGCATCATTAACAGAAGTAAGGGTGTGGCTAGAAATGTGCTTCCTTTAAAACCTAAATAAATTGACCATTGATGAATTTGGGATGTAATCATGACTAAAAATCTATAATTGGCAAGTCAAATTACTATTAGCAATAATACAATTTCAATAGGGGTAACCAAATCATATAGTAAAACAGAACCATAAAATAACCACATCCATGAGAAGAACTCAAAGTTAGTAACTAGTGATTGGGACCACTTATTAGTTAGAATGGTAAATTTTGTCTTTCTGTAATCATATGGTCCACAAACCCAAGATATATACATCAGCTTGACCTGCATGAGCCAATGGTTTAGTGACTACACCAAACTAGCAAACACTACACAAATTTCCATGATCAGATTACAAAACCACAAGGTGCATCCATGTGAAATTACTTTTCAAACGTCATTGCAGAAGAATGGATATGTTGAGACTTTTTAGGGCAAACCTTAGACTTTCAAATTTGAAATTAACCTAAATGATCTACCAAATTTAACCTAAAACTAGTTTATGAGAGTAGGAATTTCATAAAGTTACATGTAATTACCGATATTTTTCTTGAGAGTAGGAACTTCTTATTATTATATTATGTACCTGCCATTTGAGACAGTTTAACACTAAAGACGGTGGTTGAGGGATTCGACGTACCAGATGTGGGTGAAGACCGAAGTTGGAAATACCGACGGGAGACAAAGGAGCCGTTGATAATCAATTAATTAGACCGGGAAGACAACCTTCATCTTCGAGACCTTATGTTGATCTAATCATCATATCAGAACAAAATTTCACCCGTAGAGGTGCGAAAACATGTGATGAGCCAAAAATCAGAATGAACAAGGTCATCAGGACAAACCTAAGGATTCACCTTGGTGATGTTGTGTCTGTTCACCAATGTCCAGATGTCAAGTATGGAAAGCGCATCCATGTCCTTCCACTTGATGACACCATTGAAGGTGTCACAGGAGACTTGTTTGATGCATATCTGAAATGTAAGTCTACTCACACAGCATTTGATTAAGTGTTTCAATCATAACTGCTCTCTAACTGGTCTAAACGACATTCTTGCAGTTCTCGATCAATACTTCTTGAATTTAGGGTATAGACTCCTCGTCTTCTGTTGTACGCACTTAGATCCGGCCTATGAATGCTTTGACGTCTTCCCTTAACAGCTGGTGTGTGATGAGTAGAATAGAGTTCTTGTATGCCAAAACCCTAAATGGATGTGAGATTGAAGAAGAAAAGCATACGTGAGGGAAGTGTTTTTGAAACTCTGGACGAAAATCACGATTATATGTACGGGGGAAATAAAAGCCCTAGTTACTGCTCGCCATTTTGTGACCTTTAGGAATGGAGTCGCATTTTTAAGAAACAAAATTATAAAACGATTATATGAGTTGTCAGATGTGTATAGCAGAGATGGTATCGTGATTAGGGATTGTAGAGAGAATGAAGAAGAGAACAAAGGAGATCATCAAGAGGGTATTTAAAAAATTTAGAATTTTAAGAGGATTTCATTTCCCTCTTTTGAGAACGCGCGTTTTGAGTAAAAATTATAGAGCGACAGACATTCATAGAGGATGCACATTTTAAATAAGCGCGCTCCGTGAGTTTTCCTCATTTGACTGTGGGTCGAAGGGCACCAATGTTGGTCCACTAGATTATTTATCATGGTTAGGATAGTATTATGCTGGATTGTGGCTGATTAGTAGGTCCGTATGACTATTTATATTTGTTGGTTTTGTGTTTATGTTTATCTGTTACGTATGTCAACATATTGCATTGGGATGAGGTTGTACTGCTTTGTGTGGTAGCCAACAAACCCAAGAGCAATCCAGATATGAGATGAGGGCCCGATTGGCATACCAGACTCATAGTATGGGCTCAGGAGCAATCCATATATGAACTGAGGGCCCGATTGGCATGCCAGACTCATAGTGTAGGCTCAGGGGTAATCCAGTCTTTTTAGTTGTGGACCCAATATATGATGTTACATGTATGTGTGTATTGGTACTTTGGGGAACTCATTAAGCTTTGTCTTACAGTTTTTAATGTATTGTTTCAGGTACTTTTAATGATCGTGGGAAAACAAAGGCGTGATCTTACACATCTTCCTGTTTTATGTCATTGTGTCTTGGGAAAACTATGATTTGGAAATAATGCCTTTGAAACCAAGACCTTTTTGTAAACAATGTTGATTAATGGTCGATTTTGAAAATTTCAAATTTATTGTGATTTTTGGAGTGTTACAAGTTGGTATTAGAACCTTGGTTTGAGAGAACTGTATGAACATTCGTGTGAATCCAGACTTAAACTAGGGAACTGTAAAAGTTTTTAAAAATGATTTTCAAAATTGTTTTCAAGAGTAACGAATGAAGGATGCGATGTATGCGATCGACCGGAGCAAAAAAATATACCCCAAGTTACCAACACTGTTATTTGATATTATGTTTATGTTAGAACAACATATTGGTGGTAGGCTAGGGATCTTTAGTAACTGCATGATAGAATTGCCTGATAATTGATGCCTGATAGCCTAGGATTCTTTCTTATATGGAGTTGACATCATTATTGTAGTTGCTTAGTGTATGCATCATAGTTGTACATAACTAAGATTCTATAGCATGAGAATGTTTGGTTTAACCTTATTTCCTGTTCATGTTTGATGAAGGGCTTGGGGTATAATCAAGTATTCGACTGTCTATGGGATCCAGTGTTATGTATGATTAGCATAGACGAGTGTTGCAGGGTTGGTGGAAGTTTCATGGATAGGTTATGTGTGAGCAGCCGGCCAGTTGAGGAATGTCTAGCCTTTCTTAGGGAGTGAGAATAGGATGTATAAGTATTCTAGTGTGTGCTGTTAGGGTCGTTGTGATGATCTTCTAAGACAAATACGAGTAGGTGTGGAAGGTAGTATGAGCCCGTACTACTGGAAGCACAGGACCCGTACGCGTAGCAGGGAAGTCACAACCCTAGGTTTTTGTTGTTTAGAATAGCTCATATGGTATGAAATGTGCCTCATCTGATATTTTATGGTTTATTTTTAATATGTTGGTCACGAGGAGATTCGAGTCAGGAGCTGGAGCGAGTGGCCAGGATAGGCCATGGTTGACCGAGGATGAGATTAGGGCATTGATTTATTCTGAGGTTGTGACTACTTTCCGTGGACATATACCGAAGTTGTTCAGGTCTATCAAGACCGCCATGATTTAGTACTTTAACAACCATTACGCTGGACTTTATTATGCTATTGTTGCTGCAGCTACCATGGTTGTGGCGGCCACTGGGGTTTGTGGAGAGAGAGCTTTCCAGTACCGGGACTTCGACAATACAAAGCCCACGGTGTTCGATGGGGTTCAAGATCCAATCATTTCTATGAGGTTCTTATCCAATGTTGAGGGGTGTTTCTTTACTTGCTCCTGACCAGCTGACCAAAAGGTCAAGTGCACCCTGAACCTTCTTAGGTTGGGGGCGAAGGATTGGTGGAGGTTGGTTACTAGCTCTTATTCTCCCGAGCAGAGGGATGTTGTTTCATGGGAGCAGTTCTCTAAGATGTTCCGCATGAGATATGTTCCATTGGTTGAGAGGGAAAGTTTAGCCCAGGAGTATCTGGACCTGAGGCAGGGAACTAAGTTGGTGACGAAGATCACCAAGATGTTTAATGAGAGAGCATTGTTTTGTCCTGAGTTTGCTGCTTCTGAGCAAGCTTAGATGACCCGGTACTTGAGAATGCTCAAGACGGACATCCGCCAGTTTGTGTATCAGTGTTATAGTACAGTTGTGGAGCTACAGGAGGTCCCTATGAGGCAGGAGATTGAGTTGGAGCTCCAGGCGAGGGAGCAAAGGCAGGCTTCGGGGCAGACACAGCCTACGATGAAGCGGTTCAAGGACACTGATGTGAGATCTGGGAGTCAGAGGGGCCACACTTGTGGCAAGTGCATAAGGGTTCATGAGGGTCCATTCTGATCTACTTTTGGTGCCACAAATGTGGCAAGGATGGGCATTACGCCAAGGACTGTCGCCAGCAGGTTTCCGCGCCGACCACTAGGATCTGTTATCACTATGAGCAGGTTGTCCATATGAAGGAAAAATGTCCTTTGCTCATCGGGGGACCGGTGTAGGCTCCAGTGCCAACTACCTTGAGGATCACCGATGGGCGCCAGGGTAGGGGAGTCCCCGAGGGCTCGAGGTCGTGCTTTTCAGCTCACAGCCGAGGAGGCCATGGCGGCGCCAGATGTTGTTACTGGTATGTTTCCATTTATCATTCTATCGAGTTATTTTATGATATGCTTATGTTTATGATTATGTTAGGTGCCTTCTTAGTGAATTCTTTGCCTGCTCTTGTGTTATTCGATTCGGGCGTGAGTCGGTCCTTTGTATCTCAGACATTTAGTAGGGATTTCGATATGACCCTTGGCGAGTTAGAGTGTCCGTTGTGGGTTTCTATCGCCAACAAACATGGGATTTCTGCATCCAGAGTGTATCAGAGTTGTGTCTTAGATATCTTCAGGGTGCCTTATCCGATTGATTTGATTCCTATCCCCATGGGGGATGTATGTGTGATAGAAGGGGTATGGTACCAGGAGTGGATTAGGTTTTTGTTCAGCAGCCAGGTCTCGACAGTACATTCAACATGGTTGTATGGGTTATCTTTCCTATGTGGTTGATTCACGAGTTAGGGAGCAGGCATTTGATTCAGATGTGCCAGTTGTTCGGGAGTATGCTAACGTGTTTCTAGAGGAGTTACACGGTGTACCTCCCAAGAGGCAGGTTGAGTTCAAGATTGATCTAGTGCGAGGTTCGACTCCGATTTCCAAGGCGTCTTACCGTTTGACACCGCCTGAGATGTAAGAGTTTTCCTCTCAGCTCCAGGAGCTTTTATATAAGCAGTTCATCAGACCGAGTAGTTTTCCATGGGGAGCACCGATATTGTTCGTCAATAGGAAGGATGGTTCACACCGGATGTACATTTATTACCGGGAGCTAAACAAGTTGACGGTGAAGAACCATTATCCCCATCCACAGATTGCTGACGTCTTTGATCAGTTGCAGGGTGCATCTTGGTTCTCCAAGATTGATTTGAGGTCGTGGTATCATCAGGTGAGGGTTGGAGAGCAGGACGTGGAGAAGATCGCATTTTGGACTCGTTAGGGTCATTACAAGTTCGTGGTGATGCCATTTTGGCTCACCAATGCGCCTGCGGTGTTTATGGACTTGATGAATCGGGTATGCAGGCTGATGCTCGATTGACCAGTTATTGTTTTTAATTATGATATCGTGGTGTATTCCAAGACCAAGGAGCATCACGAGGAGCACCTTCGAGAGCTTTTGGGAGTATTGAGGTGGGAACGACTGTATGCCATGTTCTCAAAGTATGAGTTTTGGTTATGAGAGGTCCAGTTCCCAGGGCATCTCGTTAACCAGAACGGGATTTTGGTCGATTTAGCAGAGATTGAGGTTGTGATGCAGTGGAAGGTTCCAAAGTCCCCCTCAGAGATCAGGAGTTTCTTGGGTTTAGTGGAATATTATCGGAGATTTATTCAAGATTTCTCCAAGATTGTTGTACCCCTCACTCGTCTGACAAGGAAGGGCATGGATTTCCAT